ACACCATATATATATATATATAGGGTTATATTAGGGTGCTCACACTATGGAATAATTTATCATTGTACTCAACAATTTTGGACACTTCTATACCCTTGTTTTGTACATAGAGTAGTTTTTTAATAAGGGTATTTTTGGTCATTAGGAGGGGTGTGATGTCATCCACATGGAGCACACTAGTTGCATTTAATGCTTCATGTAGGTGATGTCACACCACATGTAGATGACATCATACCCCTCCTAATTATCAAAAATGCCCTCACTAAAAAAAAGCTCCATATATAAAACAAGGGTATATATATGTCAAAATTTTATTGAGTACAATGATAAATTACTCCATTGTGTGAGCATCCGAATATAACCCATATATATATATATATATATATACACTACATACTAATGAAGCTGAAGGGCAAGTTCTACATGATAGCTATGAGACCAGCTTTGCTCTATGTGGTGGAATTTTGGGCGGACCAAAAACAATATACCTATAGAATGAGTGTAGTGGATATGAGGATGTTGAGATGGATGAGTGGCAATACAATGATAGAATTCAAAATGAATACATTTGGGAGAATTTAGGTGTGGATCCAGTAGGCGATGAGATGAGAGAGATTAGACTTAGGTGGCCTGGCCATGTGTGGCACCGACCAAGTACAACACCTGTTAGGAGGTACTAGTTAGTTCAAGTGGAAGGATAGAAAAGGACAACAGTCCGAAAAGATATGGGGACTTATAGCCTCACCAATGGTATAGCCTTTAATAGAGCAGAATGGTAGATCAAGATTCTGTTGCTGACCCCAATTAATTGAGAAAAGGAAAAAGGATATGATGATGATGATGATGATGTGAGAATCTGAGGTCGGCCCACTAGCTGACAGCGCTACAGTAAACACCCAATGGCTACAGTAAACGATCCAATTGTTACGATTGCACTTCATATTTTAATTTTCCACAAATCCAAATCATTTAAAATCTGGAGCGTCTGTTCTTTTAAAATAGTGGATTTTGAAATTCAGTTGTGATCGTTGGATCGGCCCAGATTCAATCTCGGCTATTGGGTTTACATTATTTCATCTGCCCATAGCTGATACGATCTTTTCCCATATATATATATGGGAAAAGATCCTATCAGCCCACTAGATGATGGAATAGTGTAAGCCCAATGACCCAGATTGATTCTAGGTGCCAATCTAATGGTCACGATTGTATTTCATATTTGAATTTAAGTTTTTTATACAAATAAAAATCACCTGAAATTTGGAGCGTCCACTCTCCTTATCAAGGTGCACCTAATAACAATATTTAAAGAATTATTTGCACTAAATAACCAAAATATCCCTATAACTCTCAGGGGCATTTTGGTCAATTTATGTTTTACTCATTATTGTTTTTTAATATTTTTTGTAAGGTTCGCCTATTTTTCAAGAGTAGACGCTCAAAATGTTAGGTGAATTGAATTTGTATAAAAAGAAATAAAATTCAGATATGAAATGCAATCGTGACCATTGAAATCTGGGGTAGCAGTTAGCTTGTGGGATGACCTTAGATTTTCCCATAGAAATATATATTTGTTTTTTAGATGGATCTTTACTTTTTCATTTCATCATCATTTTTTACTGTAAATATCGATTCAATTTGTTTCCCTATCCCTTGCTTTATATATTTGTTTGTGTTTGTATTGATAGATTAAATTTAATGCATATAACTATATATCATATTCTGTTGTTGTATGTTCAAATTGGATTAGGTTTGATATATAGTGCATTTGCTTTTGTTGTCATTGAAAACTCGCTCGTCTCTCTACTAGTTGTTCACACACTAGTTAGCGCCTCTTATATATCTCTCATCGAGTCGATATAGTATTTGAAGGCTCCTTTCTTGTTAAGTACCCACCAAATTAAATCTCAAAGTACTTTATCATAAGCTTTCTCTAAATCAATAAAAACCATGTGGAGGTCTTCATACTGAACTTTTCAATCAGTTGCCTAAGTAGGAAAATAGCCTCAATTATTGATATCGAAGTGGTTTTCTAATACACTCGTTTCATGCTTTAGTTGTTGCTCAATCGCTATCTCCCACAACTTCATGGTATGCCTCATAAGTTCATTCAATAGTTTACACAATTTTTTATGTCTCCTATGTTCTTGTAAATAGGTACTATAGTACTTTTCCTCTATTAGTCTGACAGTTTCTTTGTTCTCAATACATTGTTGAACAACTTGGTCAGCTAGTCAATGCCGATCTTCCCCATGTACTTCCAAACCTTTATTGGGATACCATTTGGTCTTAAATCCTATCTTATCTTCATCATCTTCAAAACTTCTTTCGCTTCCGATATCCTAATCATATGAATTCATCTATAACCTCCGCTCTTATTTATGCCCATGGTTCCTGGTGTCACTGCGTTTCTATTGTGTTCATCATTTAATGATTTTTGAAAATAAATTCTCTACCGTTTGTTGACCTCTTCATCCTTCACTAAGACCCTTTGATCCTCATTCTTACCATATTTAATATGGTCTAGATCCCTAAACTTTTTCTCTCATTTTTTCTAATTTGAAGGCATCTTTTTCATCTTTTCTTGTTCCCTATGTATTGTGTAGACTATCATATGCTTTAAGTTTAACTTGACTTTCAGCTTAGCATTTTTCTTAGTATTTTTATATGGAAGATATTACAAAACGCCTATAGGTGAAAATGAACAGTGATTTCGCCTACCTTCATCACCGTCCAAAGTTCATCGCACAGTCACGATTGTCCGGTAGTGTTTCATTTTTCATTATTTGTCTATAAATCGGAATGACTTGAAATTTGGTGCGTGTGTTCATAAAAAATAGGCGAATCTACAAAAAATATCAAAAAAATATTTTACATGAAAAAAATTAATCAAAATACCCCCGAAATGTTTCAGGGGTATTTTGGTCAGAAAAAATTTTGCGAATTTTTTTTTTTATATTTTTATTAGGTGCGTCTCACTAAGATGAACACACGCTTCAAATTTCATGTCATTCCGATTTGTAGAACAAAAATAAAAAATGAAACACTACTGGACAACCGTGATTGTGCGATGAACTTTGGACGGTGAAGTGGGTAGGCGAAATCACTGTTCATTTTCGCCTATAGGCATTGGGAAGGCTTTTCCTTATTATATTATTCTAAATTTTGATCATTTCTATTAAATTGCCAAGTTAATATGATCGTTTTTGGTTAATGGCCTCCACCACCAAGTTTCCTCATCCGAATTTCTTTTTGCTCTAGTTTCTACTAAAATTTCTTTTGCTACTTTTTTAATACAGTCGGATTTGTAACATAGGCTGATTGATCAAAATGAAAACTTGAAGCCAAATTTGAAGCTATTATTAGTTGGTACATTCCTTTGATGCCATTATTCTTCATTTCAAGCTGTATTCTAATAACAACCAGAGATTTCATGGTGGATGTTTGTATAGTTCATTTTTCCTTTTTCTGTGCTTTTTTGGGTAATGCATAATTGATCATCGACTGCCAAAAGATGCAAGGATAAAAATGTATGATGCTTGTAATACATATAGTTTTAGATGAGGAATGGAATATGCAGTTTGTTCATCTCTTGATGGTTCAACTCGACAAAAACTGCATCTCCTCTCACCTGTCAGGTAAAAAACTGTATTTCTTCCTCTCACCTGTCAGGTGAGAAAACTGCATCTCTTAATAGTTGAACTTGAAACATGATTCTCTAATTTATAATATTAATTAGAACTTCTCCACATTTTTGGAGAAAATTTTCTTCTTTTCTTTTACCAACATTTTCCTGGTGAAAACCTTTTACCTAATTTTTGTTCTTTTTTTATTGGATCTTTTGTTTTTTAGCTGGTCGGATCAGTGTTGTCTTGAGTAGACTAACCCCTTTACCGGTTCGAGCACTGGTCCAGTCCTAAAACTGCTACACGTACAACTATGCAGGGGCTTGATTAATTTATATCCCCAGGAATGCAAATAATTGCAAATAATTTTGATTTACTTTGTGACGATTGTGCATCATTGGATTCCTAATTTGGTTAATTGTATTCCAGTGGACTAAATGCTGTGTTAACTAGCATAAAGGCAATGGCACTGTACACTGCACAGTGATTTTCTTTTCTTTATCAAGATTATTGCAAAATGATTTGCATACACAGGTAATCCAACTCCTATGCTACTCTTTGAAAGATGATAGAAACGAGTATGTAGGGCTCAATGCACCATTGAAACAAAGTTCTTAAAAAAGTTCTTTAACTGATATGCTATCGTGCCTTGTTTGTCACCCGGAATGCACCGTTGAGATATCTCAACTTACAAATGGCTCCTTGTGTGCAGATGAACAAGAAGCTACAACAACTGAAAGCCCCAAAGAAGAAGCAGCTTCAAGCCACAAAAATAAGCGTGGAGGGCCGGGGGATGGTCAAGTTCTTCTAGACCGTCGATCGAATCTCGCTTCATAATTGTCCCAACAGTGTAATAATTGGTATGCAACATTTGGGTTTATACCAAATATGTGGTGAAATAAATGGGAACAGTTAAGCTTCAGCGTCTTGATATTTTTACTATCATATACTGCTAGGGCAATATTTACTGTAAATATGAGGTGTGTGCCTAGGGCAATATTTACTGTAAATATGAGGTGTCCCAACAGGTGTGTGCCTAGGGCAATATTTACTGTAAATATGAGGGAGAGAGAAGGGCTAAAGGGCTACGAGGCTTATACCTTGTAAAAGAGCCATGAGAAGCCTTTCTTTGGGAGGTGGAATTTTGAGGGGAAAGAAACGGAGGATAAGAAATTTATAGATTACATAGGTGAAAATTGTTGAATGATGGATCAGAATTCGTGTAGCGAACTCTAAATTGTTGGGAGAAGGTTATAATGATGATGATTTGGAGATGGGAATTAAGCGGGTATTGCTCAAGGGCAAGCTTTCTATACAGTCTTTACAGCCAATCGTCCATTCTGAATGGAGGGTTAAGATTGCTCCAATTACAATGTCACGTCTCTACACTATTTTATTTTTAATGTTTTTTATGTAAATTATTTTGACACCAAATTTTGGACATCCAATCTTCTATTAAACTTGCATTAGCAAAAAAATATAAAGAAATATTTTTAATAAAATAAAATGACTAAAATACTTTTGAAAAATTCAAGGGGTATTTAGATCATTATATTTTATTGAAAAATTATTTTTAATATTTTTTTATAGGTGTGCCCCAATGAGAAGATGACACATATCAAATTTCATATTTATATAATTTGTATAAAAAAAACTAAAAATAAAATACTTTGAGATGTCGGATCTAAGAACAAATGGTAAGTGGATCTCTCGATCAAAATTGGATGGTTGGATGGTAGGCGAAGCATAGATCTTCTATACAGTAGGAGAAGTATAGAAACCTTTTGCTTTGTAAACAAAAAAACATATTCATTTGCGTAACCTTTTCCTTTGTAAACAAAAAAACATATTCATTTGCGTAGTTGGAATGTGTGGATGCTCGGTTCAAATGAAATTTCATGTATGGCGGAAAAAAGAAGTGCTCGGCCGTCTCTCATTTCAAAGGAACAAATGTGACCTAAACAGTAGCAAATGTTTGAAAAGATGGATATGAGGGTGTGGAAAAGGTTTATATGAGTCAGCGGACTTGAGAGGCTACTGACAGATGGCCGTTCATCTTTATGATGGACGGCTGTATAAAGTGCAACAGACCGAACAATTTATAAACGGTGTCAAAAAAAAAAAAAAAGAACTTTCAAAAAAGTGGCAAATTTTAAATTTTTTTGAGTGGATTGATATATATTTTTGTTTTGTATATTTATTATTATACTCATAAATATAGGGTTATGTTAGGGTGTTCACACTATAAAGTAATTTATTACTTAATAATTTTAGATATTTATATACCCTTATTTTGTATATGGAGTGTTTTTTTAAGAAAAAATTACAAATAACCCTTCAAGACTAGACTTTTTATGCAATTACCCCAACCAATTTTTTTCTTCAAAATCCACTTTTCTAGCAAATACCTTCAAGTAAACAAATGTACATTTTATTTACAAAAATACCTTTTTTCGTACATAAAAGTTTAATTTTGGCCGGACATTCACATGGGTTTACATGGGCTGTCAAACTATTCTTTGACATTATCGAATCTCGTTAAACTCAAAAAGTGCCGGACCGCTCTTTGACATTATCGGACCGCACTTTGGGCCTGTTGTCGGATTGCATGGGCCTTATTGTTGGACCGCTCTTTGACAGTGCCGGCCCTCATGGGCCTATTGCTGGACCATTCTTTGTTAGTGTTGAACCGCCACTTATACTACCGGACTGTTACTTTTATTTACTGGACTAACATTATATTGTCAGATCGCCCTAAGCATACATTAGACCACCTTTGTTTTGAACTTTGTGCGTAACCAATGACACATCCTCAACCACCCATTTCAAATCTAATAGTAAATAATGATTATGATCCCATCCATCGAAAGTAAATAATCTCATTGTGTAAATTTCGTTTATACATTTTAAAAACATAAAGTGCCTATAGTGGTTCGATGTGACCAAGCGTATGCAATTTGGTCAGGGTCAGGGGATCAAATGACCTAAAAGTTTTCAAAATACATTTGATTTTACTTGAGAAAATGTTAATATAGAGCCGAGGCTCTAAACAATCAAATTAGAGCCCACCTCGAAAATTTCACTAAAAGAGGTTGTTTTGATGCCCAAATATCCCGAAATTGTTCATCTCAACATCAAGATGCATGGAAATGAGAAAAAAATGAATTTCAAGTTTTGAAAATAGTACATCTTGTAACGTATTTTTAGACGGTCAATTTTCAAGATTTTCATAGATCTGCTTGATCTACACTATTTTTGAAGTTTTAAATTTTATAATTAACGATGAAAATATATTTTAAGGCTATCACAAAGGTTTCCAGTTTTGAAACCATATTTCTCGACACTATTTGAAGGTGCACTTTACTTTAATTGGTTAGAGCCTCGGCTCCATACAAGCCGCACACTTAAACTTGTGATCAATTTCAAAAGATATAAAATTTGCGTAGAGCACTTAAAATCCTAGCTCTCATAGTCCTGTATAGTTTATAATAATTTCGGAGGGAGAAACGATTAAAAGCAAAAAAAAATTTAGCTCTTATATTAATTGAAATTCCAAATGAATAAAATTTTTTAGTGTTTTGGAGTGAAATACCCTAACGTGTTTTCCCGTGAAACTTTTGAGGGTTTTGGAATGAAACATATCCCCTAGTATGTGGTCCTGGGGGACCAAATAAATCCATTTCCTTTTCAATCCAAAACTAGAATCACCAGTTTCTAGATAACTATATTTAGCTGATAAAACTACTGTAAATCAAGTTCCTAAGGAATATGATTTTCTTGATAAGTGAGAGTCCACAAAGAGGGTGCACTTTATTCTTAATATAAAGCGATCTGCCAGAAAATTGCACTTAACATTGGATTTATTTTCACATACGACACCCACTGCTCGGAATTGTTTACACTCTAAAGGGAATACCTAACCTAACAAAACCCTGTAATTTTTCGTTTCGTTTTGGAATGAAACATTTTTAAACCAATTGGGCAAATATTTCTATACTTCTCCTACAGCATAGAAGATATATATTTTCCTCTATCCAACTGTTCAATTTAAATCAAGTGAGTTGACCGTTTGATCTACCCATTCCTTGCCATAGAAAAAAGAAGAAAAAAAGAAGAAAATCACCAGCCCAACTTCATAAAATTTCCTTACATGGTGTCGAGAAAAGTGAAAATCCATAAGGTAACCTGTCTAGTGTAAAATAACTCGCGTGAATCCACTGGGACTCGAGCCTCTCGGGCTCTGCAACCTGCTGATCCTCAAACCAAATGTAAGAGAACCGGCGAGCCAAGTCTGTCTAGTTCCTAATATTTTCTTGTTACCTTTTAAACTTGGTCGAGTGTGTCAAACCTAACTCAGGCTCGAGACCCAGCGAGTTCCGATCCGATCCTTTCCTTGTTTTCCCACGCCATCATCATCTAAACTCAAACTGCTTAAAAAACCTGTCCCAGTCCTCCTCGTAACTCCCTTCAGGCAACACCTGCTTCCATGTTTGCTCAACCCCAAAACCTTGATCTCCTTCAAGCCCCCGTCTCACCCTCTCTACTCTCTTCAACACCCCTTCCACTGCAATATCAAAAGCATCTTTTAACTTCTCCAACTTCCCCTTTGGGTCCCCATAAATAACCCTAGGTGTCAACCCAATAACTTCATCTCTCAAACTCCTCACCTGTTCTCTATTAATCTCCAAAAGCCTCTTCTCTATATCAACAACCCCATCTCTCACCTCATCCTCAGGTATAAAAACAGAGTACTTTGTGTAATTCAATGGCAAATGCCACAAATACTGAGTATACGCCGAGCCCGGGTGGAAAAACACTGGTATACAACCCCCGAGTATTGAGTCGAAGGCCGAGCGTCGAGTGTAAGAATCGCCTTGAGGTTGAAGACAGAACACCGAGCTCTGAAAGATGCGCATTACACTGCTCGGAGATTGGCACTGGTTCCCTGGTGCATTACACTCTAGGAGATAACATAGTTTTGATTTTTGACATTGATCGATCAGTTGGTCTCGGATGGAGGTCTTTATATTCGGTCTTGACGCCCCCACGAAGGAGAAGAGCCATGGCCGCTTGATTCGAGCCATGCGTTTTTGCCAGGAAAAGACATCAGAAGCTTTTGCAGGATGGAAATAAGTAGGATAAGGGACTGCAACATCGACTCGGCTCCACGGACTTGACTCGATTACCAGAACTGTCATGTTCTTCGTGGCCGGAAGGATGAGTAGTTCGTTACCCCATTCCAAGCTAGAATTCGAGAGTCTTCTAAAATCCCATGTAATTCTCCCTGCCACCATGAAATGATCCCCACCTTGCATTCTTTTCCACTCTGGCCTCTTGACAAGCCAATCCATGAGTTCCATTGATGCTGCATCTTTCAATGTCGAGTTCATTGCCCAAAGGTATCGGCCGATGTCGAGGCCTGCATAAAAAGGAACAAAAATTGCTGAAGCAGCAGACGAATTTAGGGTTAAACACTCATAGAGGTTCATCCTGCTATGGAAGATCACATCTAGGGCAAACTGATTAGTTGAGTACCAGCCATTTTTGGATAAGACGCCTTTTGTGTTAGAGAGAGGACGCCCCATTCCTGAGTTTGAGGTGAACCGACACATGTCGGTCCATTCATTTAGGGTTTTGCAGTTCTTGAGCATGTCTTTGTTGAATTTTGATGGGAGCTTGTGTATGTATATATACCTTCCAAGGCAGGGATCAACAATGTTTCGTTCGCCTTCGACATTAGAGTTTGAGTAGTTCTTGTTCAAAGAAAGATCTGAGTTGCTATTTTGAGAACCTTTTGTGCTGGTTTTTGTAGAGTTCTTTTGTAAATGGAGATTGGGTTCTGGTTCCAATGGAGTTGCAGAGATATTCATGGTTAAAGATGATTCAAATCCATGGTTTGTGATACTTGCAGTGTTTTTCTCTTGAGAAGAAGGTTCGGTTTCATTGTTTTTGCTCCTTGTAACATCATTTTTCAACAAAGAATCCAATAATTCTTGGTTTATTTCGCTTGTACCGCCATTCTTCTCTGAAGTTGTGACATTTTCCTTGTTTCTTCTGACCATATCGCCACTCTTGTCAATAATCCTCCCTGATTCCTCGATTTTGCTCCTTATAACACCATTTTTATCAAAATTTCCCACCAATTCATCATTTCTATTATTCACAACTTGATTCTTCTCCATAACTCGATCGGATTCGATTTCTGTATTTCTTTTAGCTCCATTTTTTTGCATGGATTGGTCAGATTCATTGGTGCTCTGAAAAAAAGCACTGTTTTTAAGTCTGAGATTTTGAGTGTAGTCCTTCAAAATCAATCGCACGTTTTGGAATCCACTTATCGATCCAAACTCGATTATTTGAACATAAAACAGAAAGAACCATAGGATGAAGCATGCAATCAAAACAAGCAAGTAACGATTCCTACGTTTTCCATTACCTTTATCCATAGTTTCAGAGCAGCTGAATAACTCGTAGATTTATCAGAAACAATCCCCAATCATTTCCCTTCCCTTCCCTCCATCTTCAGTGCTAAAATCTCAAGAGAATACTCAGCGGCGATTCGCTGAAAAAATCACCGATTAAAGCCTCTGCTAAACTGTAATATTTATGATGAACACAAAACATCCATTTCCTCCATCATTTGAGCATGGAGATGATTCACCCTATTCAGAGGATTTGACATGCACAAAACTTAGCAAAAATGGAAGAACAAAAGAAGAAACAAAAATTAATGCTCCTCCGTAAGAACATGAGCTTTAACAACCTGTAAATCCTATATAAATTGAGAAAATTAGGGACCAGATACATAGTAATCTCTAAATTTAGACAATATATAACCACACTTTGTATGTTACACACAGAGAGAGGATGGCCTTAATATAGAATAGTTTTGTTTCTTGCCCATATACCTAGCAGGAAGCAAAGTAGGAAACTACAAGTCTTGATTTTCAAAATGTGGCCAATCAGAGAGAAAGAAATAAAAATTGAGAGAGAAAATTGAAGAGAGACAAATACACGTGAAGAGAAGAGAGACCGAATTAATCTGGCTTGGCAGAAAAAAAAATAATAAAAAGAAAAAAGGATGAGGTTTCTATAAGGCCTACTATTTATGAAAATAAAATAAAACCTCACCTTAAATCCTCGTCTCGAAAGTATTTCAGCTGATAAAAATATCTATGATAGCTCTAAAATCAATTTTCAACACTATTAATAAATTTGAAACTAAAAAAAATAGTATAAATTTTTCGGATCCATGAACACTTATTTTTAAAACAAAATAGAAAGCCTAGATAATTTATTATCAAATATATTATTTTTAGAGCTTGAAATCCTAATTTTTTTCACAACCATAATGTTCAAGTTGAGATGATCCATGTAAATGTTTTTCAATGTTTAACGTGCAATTTTTGATGAGTTATGAAATGAGGATTTAGATATTGACGGCAGCCCTATCAAACCAATTTTTAAAATAAAATAAAATAAAAAAAATAAAAAAAAAAAAAAAAAAAAAAAAAAAAAAAGAAAAAGAAAGAAGGGGTGAGAAATTCATATAAACCAGAAATCAAATGAAAAGTGGACCAACCATAAAGTTTCTATGAGGCCTAGGCTCTGTGAAAGTAGAAAAAGCCTCACCTCAAATCCTTATCTGAAAACGACTGTTGACAATGGAAATCTCCACGATGGCTCTAAAATCAATTTTTTATACAAACAATAGAATTCAAAACTCAAAAAAGTTACAAATATTGTGAATATATTAAGACTTACGTTTTAGGGCGAAATGGACGGTCTAGATAATTTGTTCTCATATGTATTATTTTTAAAATTTAAAATCTTAATTTTTTTTCATAACCATAATGTTCAAGCCGAGATGATTGATATACAAGTTTTTCAATACTTAAATTACAATTTTCAATGAGTGCTGAAGTGAGGTTTTACTTATTGTGATAGGGCTGCAGCCCTATCAAACCACTTTCCACTTCATAGGAGCCATCTAACACGGCAAGTATGCCAGAGGATACATCTTTCTACCGATGATGACCGGTCACACACCACGTCTAATGATGACGTGTCGGTTTTTACCTGCCGGTAAATGGTGACGTGTCGGTAAGGAGATTAGCAGCCGGTAAAGTCCAAGATTTTACGTCGGTTGACCGTTAGGAATTCGTTGTTTCTTGACTTGACCAATATACCCCTGATGATGGCTTGTTTTTTCGAAAATATTACAGAATGTCATGACTTGGTACAATTTAGGGCGTCAGGAACAAATTATTCTGTGACATAGATTAACAACAAAGTTTATTAGGAACCCGGTTTTTATGAGTGACTCATACTATTTTCTTGCAGGCTCCCTTGAACTATCAATCTCGGATCCAAATTTGTAGTGATCCATAATCTGATGATCATGAATATAAAAAATGAAATATAATAAAATAAAATTTTAAAATATTTTTATTAGAATAGTTTCCTTTCCATTGGATAGAAAGTTTTAGTTGTGGACATTCATCTTAAAGATGAACGTTGTGATTGTGTGGCTACAAGTGCCAACTTTTTTTTTGACAAAATTATTTAATTAATTATTAGAATTAAAGGAAGATTAAAACAATATAAGTATAAAAAAGTTTCAGAGATCACCAAACTGTCCATCAAACCACCTCACCTTGCCAATTCATTCGCAATTTCATAAGTCTCTCCATAACCATGTTTAAAGAAATTTCTATCTGAGAATTGATATCATAATCTGCATCCAAATTGATCTAGAACGCTATACCGATTAATCACATTAAGGGAATCCTCCGATCAGACAATAATCACCGTCAAAGTCTCTCCTATAGCAATATTAACCCCTGCAAAGGAGTTGCTAATTCCGCATGCTTAGCAGAGACGCAACCACACGAACCTGCGTAATAAACCATTATCTCGGAGCATGCCACCACTCCTTTAGAAGGTGCATCTAAAAAACCCTTTAGAAAAGTGTTTTTCGATATGGAAAAATCTTTCAATTGATCATCTTAACCTCAAGATGTATAGATACAAAAACGAAAAAAGAAAGACAGAATAATTCGAAGTATTAAAAATCATGCATCATGGAATAAGTTATCTGGATCATCTATTTTCATGATTTGCAGGTACTGGATATTTGCTCATCTATACCATTTTTAAAATTTTAATTGTAACTAGAGATGAAAATAGATTTTCAAGCCATCAAATGCTTTCAGAGATGTTGGACTACGTCTCCACACAAAATTTAGAGATGCACCTTACTTCAATAGAGGAGGATGCCTTATATAAACCTCACCTAGAAGCAAATACACAATTTGCTCTAGAGGGAGCAGCAAGTTTTTTGGCTTTCCAAAAAAAGCTTTGAGAAACAAAAGTTTATATAAGGGTGAGGCTCTAACCAATTAAATTAAAGCATACCTCAAAATTCGTTAGAAGAGGTTTCAATGCCCAAAAGTCCTCAAATTGATCATCTCATTCTCAATATGTATGGACATGAAGAAAAAAAGATTTCAAGTCTTAAAAATAGTGCATCTTGTAATACATATTTGGACCATCAATTTTCAAGATTTTCAAGTGTTCATAGATATGTTAGATCTACATGATTTTTGAAGCTTTAAATTTTATAATTAGAGATAAAAATAAATTTCCACGTCATCACAAATATGTCTAGTATTAAAACAACATCTTTTGATACTATTTAAAGACACGCTTTATTTTGATGGTTTAGAGCCTCGGCCGTATACAAACCCCACCCATATTGAAAGATTCGATGGGACGCAGTCGTCGTAAGTGTGAAGGAATCTTTCCGCAAAGGAAGTGGAACTTTTCAAAGTACATCACCAACCATACTTCTCAAAGTATGATTTACTTTTTATCACCTAGTTTGAAGATTTTTTTAAAGAAAAAGTTTATATAGAGTCGAGGTTCTAAGCAATCAAATTAAAGCACACCTCAAAATTTTCACTAGTTCAGGATGTTTTGATGCTCAAATATCCTCAAATTGATCATCTCGACATTAAAATGCATGAACATGAGAAAAAAATGGATTTCAAGTTTTTGCTAAATAGTGCATCTTATAACGTATTTTTGGACCGTCAATTGTCAAGATTTTCATAGATATGTTCGATCTACACTATTTTTTAAGCTTTTAATTTTTGTAATTAAAAATAAAAATATATTTTAAGGCTATCACAAAGATTTTCAATATTGAAACGATATTTCTCGATACTATTTGAAAGTATGCTTTACCTTGATTGTTTAGAGCCTCGCCTCTATCCAAACCGTACCGTTTTTTAGACACTTGGACAACATTTATCATGGTTGTGGATCATCCTACATTCCTAAGCGCAATAACCAATTGAACATGAGAAATAATGGACCTATCCCTGTTCTACTATTTCTCTAACACCAACCATATAGTGTATTTTGACGTGTGTTTGATAAATGGGCTGAGTTACTCGCTCTCGGGCAGTGGCCAAGGCCGAGTTGTCCTGAGATGGAGGTCCAACTTAAGGATATTAAAAAAAATTCAAAATAATTATAAAAGATTCTAACAAGTACAAAGTTTATTTGTAATATATTTTTTATGTTTTCTATCATTTTGACAAAGATTAGAAAGTATTTTAACTATGAACTATATTTTCCCATCTTTTTAGGAAAATTTGGAAATGCCGTCAATTACAAACTGATTTTTAAAATCTACGTTGCGCTACTTTGTTTTACCACATTTAGATGTCTTTTGTATAATTTTATTTTCAATATTTTATTTTTATTTTTTTGCTGCTACAGCCCGAGTAGTGGTTTCAAACATTGATTTAGACTATCCCTAACTGCCAATGGAGTGTCTAGGAGGGTTTACTCCAAAGCAAAACTAGTTGAGCATGGTTCAAAACCAAAGTTATAATGGTCAGACTGTTAATTTTGATCAGACCAGTTAAACAAGGTTGGTGAGAGCAGACAAAGCTTAACCTAGAGACCATACTACTTTTATTTTGTGATTTGAACCGTCCATTTTTGTTAGACCTACAGCATATGAGGAGGCATATTTTTAAGATCTCCTCAATTTTATAAAGAACATCATAAACGAAAACTCCAACGAACAATTAAAACTAGCTAATTTTCACATATCTAGGTTTACAAGTGCTGAAGGTGGCTGCTGAATTTGGTTTGTTGAGTTGGTTTAGAGAGTAGGCTCGAGAGAGGCCTTCCGTGAGTGATGTGAGGCGTTGTAGAGAGGCATGGCAAGAGGGAGAGGGAGAGGGAGAGGGAGAGGGAGTAGTGCTTCAACTTGCAGACCGAGAGAGAGGTTTTTAGATTTTTTTTAAGTTACGAGCAGTTTCTCTCTCAAAATTTGGTGTGCATACGTACGTGCGCGTAGTTTCAGATGTGTGCATGATTTTGTTTGTGATGTTCTTATTATGTATTATTGTTCGCTGCGCAACTCAACAAGTGGTATCAGAAGAAGGTTCGTGAATTTAGATACTTGGCTCAACAAATTAGAGGATCGGAATTGAAGGAAACATGAAGAACAGTGGGATGGATCGAGAATCTCCAGTGATTGGAAATCCTGGATAGAATCACATTTGCATGGACAATGACTAGCAACAGCATTGTCGACAAAAAAAATTAAACACTTTTGAAGTTGGTGGTTTAATTATTCAAGTATTGGGAGACGATGAATAGCAACAACATTGTTGACAAAAATTTAAACGCTTTTGAAGTTGGTGCTTTAATTATTCAAGTATTTGGAGAAGGAGCATGCTTAGAAAATAGGGTTAAGGGGGGATATATAAATTACGATTGTATTTTGTGTAAAGAAGTTACAATTACTTACAACCATACAATGTGAAATTTGATAGTTTCGGTGTATTATAAAGTTCGGAAAAAATTCTTTTGAACATTGAGTTCAATCAATGAAATAAATGCAGCCACCCGATTTAACATCCAATAATGAAAATTAATTGTGACCACCTTGTGCGAAAGGCAAAGGGTATCATTATACACTTTCCTACATGAGTTTCCTTCTTTTTTAAAATTTACTTTCTACTCAACTCATCCTTTGCATATAGACGAAGGAGCAAGCTCATGATTATTAACGAATTGGTATATTTGTTTGCATTATTTTGTTTGACAAGCCTCAAGTTCCCAACTCAAGCAGTTTCACCTTTGATTTCATGTCGGTTCATGCATTATATAGAGGGCAAGCTTTTTATGCTTCAACTATAATATAAAACTTATATATTTCCCCTTATCCAACCTTCCATTCCGAATGGCTATGATGGCCCTAATTACAATGTCATGTCTATACACTATTTTAGTTTTAAATTTTTTATAAAATATTTTTATACCAAAATTTGGGCATCCAATTCTCTACTAAACTTGCACATGTAAACAACATAAAAAAATTATTTACTGTAAAATAAAATGACCAAAATACCTTTATACGTTTCAAGGGATTTATTGATCATTATGTTTTATCAAAAAATTATTTTTAATATTTTTTGTAGGTGCACCCCAATAAGAAAATGACATACTAAATTTCATATTTATATAATTTGTATAAAAAAATTAAAAATAAAATACCCTTAGACATCGGATCTAAGATCAAACAGTGAATAGCACTTGAACAAAATTGGATGGTAAAAGAAGCATAGATCTTCTATGCTGTAGAAGAAATATAGAAACCTTTCCCTTATACATACTGTAAGGGAAATAAGAGAAGTATAGAAACCTTTCCCTTATACATATAATAGGGAAGTATAGAAACCTTTCCCTTGTATAGAAATCAGTTTTGTTCACTCTTATCCATAGCTGAAGACACCTTACCTTTCTTTATTCTTCCCCATGGTGAGAACCTGATTACCCATAGCAATCAAATTTTTATGGAAAATTACCCACAAATATCCCTGAAACAAATTTAATGCACCTTGATTCCAAAAGAAATATAAAAGAAAAAACAGAAAATATATACACAGATCATTATATCTGCGGTACTAGTTTAATCATTCTTTGAAACTATAATAATTGAACCGCATTTACATGGGTAAATTCACTGTCCAAATTTGTAATCTATATTTTCGATTCTGAGTTGGGATCTGTGATTTCAGTTCGCAGTTGTATTTCCTGATTCATCTCTAACAGTTCAAAAGTTAACACTCTTAACTATAATTCCTTTACCCATAGGAATATAAAAATGAATTCTACCAGACAAGGAAAGGAAAATAAGATGATAATGCTCAAAGACATTTTTCTTTCAAACAAATCGAAATTTCCTTTTGCATCCGATAATAGTACTGAACAAGAAACATGACACACATACAGCCACAGAGAGAGACCAAAACTGGGTTAGGTCTGCTGCTGCGAACAGTTAGGGCAGCGCAAACGCCCTTTTGCGTTACAAACATTACATGGTGTGGTACCCAATTTGGGTCCACCTTCTCTAAATGTCTGATAAAGATCACTTGCCATGCTAAACGGTCCTCCTTTCACCAAACCCACCCCCCTGCATCTTGAGCATGCAATAACCTTCAGGTCACCACATTGCCTGCACATCCCCAGAGACCTCCTCTGCGAAGCTGAAATGAAGGCATCTATTTTGGGTGCAGCAATGGTGGCAAGAAATAATAGAGCCCCAACACCGTAGCCAGCTGCCTCACTAGCCGTGAGATTGTCCATCTCAGTCCGAATATATACTACATACATAAGTACGATTACATTATGACTATTAAAGATTAAAGAGAAAATATCACAGCAATATTCATTTTGAGGCCACACAAGCTGGGGGACAGTAGAAAAATCACAATCCGATACTGTCTTTTCAGACATTCATCATCATTGTATCAATAAATGGAAAGTCAAGATATTAAAATCAATAAGGGGCCATTTCCCCCCACGCTTACATAACTTGATCAACAGCCCTTCCAAAAATTAACCTAGAAAATGCCAAGCATTTAACATAAACAATACCCATCATGCTTTTAGCAAATGTTCAATTCCTAGCACCCAATGTTGATAGGTATTTTTACAAGAAAACAAAAAGTATAGTAATGCAATGATTGATAGACAATAAATTCGTTTTTTGAGACAGAGTACATTATTGTGCCCTCCTACCCAACTGTCAATGCTTTTCAATGCTTACCATCAGAGTTTCCCGATAAGTGATAACCTAAATCAGTTCTTAATATCCCTGGTTAAGGCATCTAGCTATCTGATGTGGGGCCATTAGAATGAGGCCAAGGAAAAGAAACTGCAGAAAGGAAACCCAAGCTAAACATTTAAAGAACAAAATCCAAGAGCACAAATCCATTTAGAGGCTCTGGAACTGTGGAAAATGAAAATTTGGGAGCTTACCCTTGTCCAAAAAACAAAACCTTAGAGAACAAATCCTTCCAGAAGCTCTGTGATGATGACATCAAAACAATCTATAATACCAGTATGTCAAACTAGAGCAATATAAAACCCATATGAAGAGAAATTCTTGCAAGTCCCTGTTAGGGAGAGTAAAATCATTGGTTTCTTGCTGAAAAGAAAACCTAAGAATCATGAGCATGTAATTTTGCAGGGTAAACCAGATAATAAAACCAAAAGACCAGCCACCACATTCTGCATTTTGTTCATATCATTCAACAGGGACCATACGACATATGATCAATATGCTAGCTTGCACTGGTCCAATCTCCTTTATGATAGGATGTATTTTTTTTTAATTATTTTGTTGTAAGTAAAACTGCACTCGAAAAGGAGGTTCAATAGTAAAGAAAAAAAAAATGAAGGTTCAAAATTTCATCAGTCTCTGAAAAATGCTAGTTTAGTGAGATATATGCACTTCTTTCAAGGATTCCTCGCATATTTCTGCATCATGCATAATTAATATGACCTCAAAGAACCACCTACACATGCAAAAACACATATAAATAAGTATAAATATATAGGAAAAAGATGAGGTATGTGCACTCATGTTTGTCATCTTGTATGCCCAATGGCCCATATTCAATTTGGGCCATTGGATGGCGCAGACGGTCGTTTTCTGTTTTTTATTTCTAAATGATTTTTAAATGAAATTTGGGGTGACCCACCCCAAAACAAAAAAAAATGATTCAAACAAAAAAATGACCAAAATACCATTGAAAGTTTTGGGGGTATTTGGTCAATTCTTATTTAAATTATTATTTTCACTTTTATTGGGTATGCCTTGTTTTGATGGAGGGACACACCAAATTTCATGTAAAACTAATTTGTAGAAAAGTTTAAAAATAAAATCAAATTGTGGCCGTCCATTTGGCTAGGATTAAATATGGGTCATGGGCGTATACTGTTTCATCAGCCCGTTGGCATGACAACAGTGTGATCCATACACACACATGTAAGAGTGCACATATAAATGCATATATGGGTGCGGTTTGTATAGAGCTGAGGCTCTATACAATCAAAGTAAAGCATGCCTTCAAATAGTGTCAAGAAATGTGGTTTTAATACTGGAAATCTTTGTGATAGTTTTAAAATAAATTTTCAACGTTAATTATAAAATTTAAAGCTTCTAAAATAGTGTGTAGATCGAGCAGATCTCTGAAAACTTGAAATTTTGAAAATTGATGGTCCCAAAATGCGTTACAACATGCACCATTTCCAAAATTTGAAATCCTTTTTTTTCTCATGTCCATCCATCTTGATGTCGAGATGATCAAATTGAGGATATATGGGCATCAAACAAGATCTGCTAGTGAAATTTTTGAGGTGGGCTCTAATTTGATTGTTTAGAGCCTCGGCTCGATATGAACATTTTCCTGCAAATATTTGATATGTATGTGTGTGTGGATTCATCTAAGTTCTAACTTGTATGCACGTGCGATACTTTTTACAAGGATTCCAAATATGTGGAGAGTTGGTTGCTCATTTTGCAAGCAACTGAAAACAGAATAGACGGCACAGAGAAACTAGTTATTGCCCAAGCAATTACAGATGGCATGATGGCATATAGTTCATGATTGGACATGCATGTTAATAGTGTAAAACCTATGTAGGCAAGGCCAAATGCCCCATCTTTAAATAAATGGAATGTTTGCGGAATTGTTTAAGCACTACAGATTTTTCCAAGATGGGTTATACAGTTATAATTATCAGTTTGATAAAAAAACCATGGGCCGGTAGAATTTCATTGGAATAGATTAGACACACAGTCACATATATCCTACAACAAATATGAACTTTGTAAAGTTGAATCCATATGATTAATTCAAACAAAGTCTCGCATAAAAAGTATCAATCAACCTAATGGTTACTGGAAATGTTGAGGAAGCTCAGATACATGTAGAGATAGCAAGCATAAACATAACAATGGTCTTAAGCCCAGATACTTGAGAAGATAGCTTGCATAAACATGATACTCGCCGTGCCACATTTTTTTGTTCCGACAAATACATAATAGGAGGATTTAGGCATGTGCCTGTCCAGGAATTTTTATGGATAACTCCTTTTTAACATGCTTGTGTGGTCCCCAAGGGATGGTCCTTCCAAAAGCTAGAGATTTGGGATGCCCTGAATTTTTAGGAATGACTCCTTTTTTAAGGAGAACTCCTTTTAGCTAGTTGGCAACAATAGATGGGGTCTTTAGCATGGACAATCTTCAGTTCCGAGGGTTCATGCTTCCAAAATTTGTCCAGAAGACAGGATGAGGAAACAACCGATCATCTTCTCATCAACTCTATTTTCTAGATCACTCTAAAGCTTCTTCCAAATCCTTATTAGTGTCTGTGCTTGATTTTCATGACTGCTTTTTCTATATGGATGGGTGTCATTGAAGGAAGTACCCAGTAAAATTGTGAATACTTGCAGTCTTAGAGAGAGGAACAAACCATAAAGAGCGGATTAGGTGTCAGTACTTTCATTAATCCTTTTGAAAAGCATTTTCAAGGTATCACAGAAGAGGAGTCAAAAGGGATTTGAGGAAGACGCCTATCAACCTGTTAATCTTAAGACACAAGAAGCATTGGTGCAAGCTCTCACTAAAGACCATGAAGGTAAATTTATTGATGACAGCCCCTTTGACAATCCTTAGTCTTTCGAGTTAAGAACCCTCTTCTATAATGAAATAGACTTATTAAGGCATTCACAGGTCCTTTAGGTGTTCGAAATTCAACTGAGAAGTCAAGAACACTTAATGCAACATAGCATATTCTGTTAGAGTTTCTCTCCTACACTATTATTTGTTATTGTCTGCTAAAGGTGAACAAGTTTGTTACATGAGATATCCAATACTACTGAGTTTTTGGTCGTGTAATTTCACCATGGCCATAAGAAGGCCCTCAAGTTTACCTACTTCGAAGATAGAGAAGTGGCCCAAGTAGAATTGACCTTTGAAGAGCTCATCCCAGAAATCCTACAAACACCCTGTTGTAGGGCTGTGGGTCATGATGCAAATATTAACATTTACCTTCACATTGAAAGTAATGCTCTATGGTAACTCATTAAAATGGAAAATAAACTAAGTCGGTGGTTTCATATAACTTTATAAGAGATTTTGAGAAGTAGATCAAATTTGAAAAGTACACTCACTATTTGCTGACTGGATGAATAGCTACTATTGAAGCCAATGACAAGGATGAGTGCCAGAGACATGGAAGGGAACACATGAGATGCGTTTCTCCCCAAATATGAGCATGTGGCTTGACGGAGTTTTGTAAATATAGAGTGGTTCTAAAGTGGCAGTCTATGATTTAGCGGTTTGGAGTGTTGATTTAGTGGTTTCGGGCGTGGATTTGACTTTGTGTACCCATCCAAAAAAGAAATTGGCAACTGCTCCGAAAATTACAATTTTGTGGCACCACTATTTGTTCTATTATTGAGACTATTTAGATATCAACAGGGCAAGGGTTAGACAAAAGCTATTGCAGAAAATTAAACACTGTTACATACTTCCGTTACAAGTCGGGGCTGCCCAGTTAATGACACAAATTAGAGAAAGGAAAAAGATTATTTAAAGAAGAAAAGATGATGGCTCCAAACATCTGGATTAAGGTTTGACATACTTTATGTGGCGTAATTAGTCCAGAGTTAGAAAAACAACAACAAAGTCAGCATCTAGTTTTTGAAGTTTTCAAATGAATGAAGAAGTTTAATAAAAGCTGCAAAAATGTCTGAGGTTTCAGACACCTTTAAGAGATAAATGTCTAAATTCAGATTCCCAAATGCCAACAAATACTAGATCTGTGCATGATAATATCTAAAAGATGTTAAATATCAGGAAGCCTGTAAAAAGTATTGCAGTTATGGGTCTAAGTCGCGGATCATGTTTCTTCAAGCAGACACTTAAGGTTGACCCAAATAAGAAACTCAAATCTTTCATCAATAAAGTCTTTGACACCGAATTGCTTCATGATAAAAAGAATATCTATCATCATAACAATAACAACAACAACAACAACAACAACAATGATGACGATGGTCGTAAAGATGATGATAATTTGCCCTTACTTGAATCCAAGTATATTTGGAACTTGGAACAAATAAAAAGTTTAATTTATTTTTAATTGGTAGGCTAAAGGTTTTTATTTCTCCATTTTCCGGCATTATTGAGTTCTACTCCTAATATAAGTGGAAATCCAACTGCATTTTCCAGTGCTTGCAGCAATTTTGGGCCCAAATTTGTCAAGATTTTGGAGTAAATTCACCTAATATTTGGGTGGAGATTTCAACAAGTATGAATTCACATGAATTTAAAATCAAATCAGGAATAATTATTTGAAAATTACGAAAAGCATTATTTGCATTAGAAATCAGAAATACTTGACTTAAACAACCTGACTTCTTTCTTGAAAGTTGATTAAAAACTCTCCAACCAAATTCAGCAGCTCTAAGTTGCCCTAAATGCAATCCATTTCCTTCAAGGTTGAGTTCACCAATGAACCAAAAATGTGTCTTATCATTTCTAACATGTATAATACTTTGATTTTCAAAAAGTTTATAATTTCGATTATTTTATTAAAAGAATAAACTTATTTTATACAGATTAATTGTCCTGAAAATGCTGTAAAAAACGAATCTCACTTCCATGTATCCAAAATTACTTGAAAAATCTGCTTATGTATATCATGCATCAACGAATTTCAGTAAAAAAAAAGAAAAAAGAAAAAAAACCTTTTCCTGCTATTTGCATATAAAAAAGAAGAAATTTTCTCTATTGTTGAAAAACAATAATATTCCCAACAATTATCGTTAATGAAAATATAAGGACGAAAATTTACCCAAAAAAATGAGCATAAGGAGATATCAAACCAAAATCAAAACAAAAATTAATTCTATAATATCAAAGGTAAACAATAAAAAACAAAATAATCCTACGAACAACAAGATTTAGAAGAGATAAACCCTAACTGTGGTTCCTTTAATCCAATCTCAAACAGAGAACAGAAAGCGCCACGAAATCAGCTTACCAAAAAGATAATCGCAATGAAATGGAGTCCCAGTTATGTAAAATCCAATTCACGGCGAATTTTGCCGGAACATACGCAGGGAAACTCCAATTATTTCGGCGTAAAATCGACCGAATAGAGAGAAAACCACAATAGGGTTTGATAAGCAGCAAGGGCATTTTAGTAATTTAAGGATTCCATAGCCATCTTTTTCGATAAATGCAAGTATATGCTTGTCATTTCTAAAATTATACTCGAGATATTTTTGCCCTTTGTAAAAAGGCTGGTCAGCCTTCCATTTTGAAGTGGGGTACTTGCGTAATTTGTTAATACAATAGAGGAAGGGTGTGTCGCCGGCGTCTTCATCAAAACCCAAAGGCATCTTTATCAAAACCCTAACTCAGATCTGGGCCGTCAAATCTGTAAGATCCAACGGCCAAGGAAGAAACCCTAAGCAAGAAGTCCTGCACTAGGGTTTATAAAGCTGCGCCAGTGCGCCTTCCCTTGCCGTCTCTAGAGCAATCTCTATTGAGCTCGCGGTTGAATCGTTTCCTTTTTCTCTCTAGCTTCAGCAGCAAACAGGTATGGTTTTCTTTTCTCGTAATTTCTTTTTCGGGTTTAGTTCTTGCCTCTGTCTCGCTCTCTCTATGCTTCTTCTTCTTCATGATCTTCATTGCTGAGAAGGTAATTCGATCCGATCTATCAATTTCTTATTGCTATCAATGGATTCTGTTTCATTAATCTCTCTGTCTTCCTTTTTCTTTTTTGGATGTGTTTTGCCGTCTGTTTATTGCTTCTGTTCTCTATATCTCTCTCTGAACTTTGATTTCCCTCTAACGTCTTTTTCTTATTGTGTTAGTATTATCGCCTATCTCTTGAATGCTTTTTTATTTCGGTCCGTTTTCCCTTTTGAGATTTTTTTCGCTTCATTGATGGACTTGAGGTCGTTGATTTGATTTTGGGCTGTGTTTTTCAGTAATTTTATGTGTGCAGTTGTTTGATTGTACTTGTCTCTTTGTATTTTTTGTTACTGGAATTATATTTTCCTTTTTTAGAGCTAGATCTGTGAGTTTCTACTTAGTTGTTGATCATTCTGGTCTGTCGATCCTATAATTTATTTTTTGCTTTCAATTTCAACTGCTTTTAAATATTATCTATGGATTATCTGAATAATTTGATGCTTTTAGAAGTTTTATTTGGGATTTTGTTACAAGTGATCTAATTTTTTCTTCTGATTTCTTCTTACTTGGAAAAATTGTGATGATTTTGCATTCTATTATTGTTGAAGAAAATTCCTAGTGTTCTATGATTGTTTTTCATGATGGTATTACCAAACCCATTTTTCTTAAATGAATTAAAAATCTTCGGTGAAGTGCTACTTCTTGTGATTTTTTATTTTATTGGCCTAGAGATCTAGTTTTTAGTTGTGTTTCGTTACTAGATCTTCAAAGCTTGTTTAGCATTCTTAATGATTGCTTTCTCTACTTTTGTAATATATTTATACTAATGCTGATGGTATTTTGGCCTCTGCGTAAAATCACTGTTTTGCTTGAGGTTTTTTTGGTTACAAGTTATTATTGATTTGTCTTCATATTTTGATGTGATTATGCTCTTATTTTTTTTTTGATTATGTGGTTTGTATACACATATAAAAGTTGGGTTCTACACTGTTGATAACAATTTGTTGGTTGTTTCCACTAACCTCATTGTCTATTGGAGGATTCAATACTATTTGAAGCTATGCTATGATTTCTGCTTCTTGGTGTTTGTCATAAACATGGGTTCATTGGTTCAAATTGATTATGCTTGTTTTCCTTTCTGCTGAACTGAAAGGCAAGACTTTTTTGTCTGTAATGAAGTCGGCAAAGCAGTACACAATTGTTCCATTTGTTTAGTTTCTATTCTCTTGTGCAAATTCAACTGCTATACCATGAAGGACTTATTTTGTTCACTTCCAAGTTTCAATACGTGGTTTCTGCCATATACTTCTTATGGTGCTGATTTGGATTTATCCATTGAATATGGTATAATTTTTTGTTCATAGTGGAAAGTTAGTATTGGAAGATTGAAAATGATGGAAGATTGAAAATGAACACAGTATTTTGTTTGTTTTGTCTTTGTGCTTTGTTACACTAAGCACAATTTTCTTATCAGCATTATGAAACTAGGTCTACCTTGTTGAGTTTTAGATTTTATAATTTTGTTATCTGGCTTCGTGGTTGATTTTTGTTTAAAAAAGTCAATTTAAATCTTTGAAATGATTTTTTTTAGTTAAATTTCTTATTTGCCTCTCTTGTTCCGTCTCTTTATTTGCACGACAATAATGCGATTATGTTGAGCTCATAGATGTTCTATAATCTGTAGGCTTTAGTTGAAAACTGAAAGATGGGTAAGGAGAAGGTTCACATCAACATTGTGGTTATTGGTCATGTGGACTCTGGCAAATCAACAACCACTGGTCACCTCATCTACAAACTTGGAGGTATTGACAAGCGTGTGATTGAGAGGTTTGAGAAAGAAGCAGCTGAGATGAACAAGAGGTCATTTAAGTATGCTTGGGTGCTTGACAAGCTCAAGGCTGAGCGTGAGCGTGGTATCACAATTGACATTGCTCTGTGGAAATTTGAGACGACTAAGTATTACTGCACTGTCATTGATGCCCCGGGTCATCGTGACTTTATCAAGAACATGATTACTGGTACCTCTCAGGCTGATTGTGCTGTCCTCATTATTGACTCCACAACTGGTGGTTTTGAGGCTGGTATTTCTAAGGATGGGCAAACCCGTGAGCATGCTTTGCTGGCCTTCACCCTTGGTGTCAGACAAATGATTTGCTGCTGCAACAAGGTAAATATGCATTTACCACTAATGTGGTTTTTTGTGCTATTTCTTTTTCTTATATGGTCCTGACAGAAAACATGAATACTGTATTGAGCTGTTTATGGCATTCATGAAAGCAAAATTTGGAGTTTTTGCATTTGTTTTTCCTGTTGTGTCTCGACCCTAGCCTATTTCCTTTGAAAACTGTCTTGAGTAGTTTTTGTGCTATTTAATTTTCTTATATGGTCCTGACATAAAACATGAAATGAATACTGTATTGTGTTGTTTATGTCTTTCATGAAATCAAAATTTGGAGTTTATGCATTTGTTTTTCCTGTAGTGTCTCGACCCTAGCCCATTTCCTGTGATAAATGCTGTCTTGAGTAGAAATTATTTGTTTTATGATTTTTACTGCTATTAGTATTTTGATTATTTTGTTGTATATTGAAACTTAAGAATTTTTTAACCAGTTAAACTTTTAGAATTTTTTTGCATTTACTGCTTTTGCTGAGTTTTTTTTTGTCTTATTGATTTGATAATGATAGATGGATGCCACCACCCCGAAGTACTCCAAGGCCAGATATGAAGAAATTACGAAGGAAGTGTCCTCTTACATCAAGAAGGTTGGATACAACCCTGATAAGATCCCCTTTGTACCCATCTCTGGGTTTGAGGGTGACAACATGATCGAGAGGTCCACCAACCTTGATTGGTACAAGGGTCCCACCTTGCTCGAAGCTCTTGACATGATCTCGGAGCCCAAGAGGCCATCTGACAAGCCCCTACGTCTCCCACTTCAGGATGTCTACAAGATTGGAGGTATTGGGACTGTCCCTGTGGGCCGAGTGGAGACTGGTGTCCTTAAGCCTGGTATGGTTGTCACATTTGCCCCTTCTGGGCTCACCACTGAAGTTAAGTCTGTTGAGATGCACCATGAGGCTCTTCAAGAGGCTCTCCCTGGTGACAATGTGGGGTTCAATGTGAAGAATGTTGCTGTCAAGGATCTCAAGCGTGGTTTTGTCGCCTCCAACTCCAAGGATGACCCTGCCAAGGAGGCTGCTAACTTCACAGCCCAGGTATGTGTTTCATCATTCTGTATCTAATTGTCTGTCTTTTGTTTTCTGTTATAGTTGCTTCTAAACTTTTTATATGTTTCATCGTTGGGCAAGTTATTTCTTTCACTGTATTTTCTTTTTCCACCATGTGGCGACGTTTGTTTTGCGTGTGTAGATATTTCTCATAGACTGCAACCCTTGTAGATATTTCTCATAGACTGCAACCCTTTTAGCCAAATGCGGTCCTCCAGTTTCTGGTAGGGCATGTAAGGTTTGTAGGACATCTCTCTGGCGGAGAGAGATTTCCAAACCGGAAAACTAAATTTTCCATGTTTGCTTTGTGGGCAAGGCGGCGTGTATGGAATTGCTAATGGTTTTCACCACTATAGGAGTGGGAAATCTCTCCTTGTGTGATATTTCTGGAGAGATTCCCTGTGAATTACACGCACCCCTTCCTCTTAGGCTCTCTTGGATGATTCTCATGCATTGGGCTTCCTTCTGTGGGTGTCTTTCATATTTTATTTGTGTACTGTTTCTATTTTTACTGTTCTTTTTTATCCATCTGAAATGCAATCATTTCTTGCAAATTTTTTAGGAGATAAAGTATCATTCTATATTACATATTTCACTCTTTATTTTTGAATTGTGATTCTCACAATTGTACTGCTTTGTCCCAGGTTATCATCATGAACCACTTTGCATTCTCATTCTCACAATTGTACTGCTTTTGTCCCAGGTTATCATCATGAACCACCCTGGCCAGATTGGCAATGGCTACGCACCTGTGCTTGACTGTCACACCTGCCACATTGCCGTCAAGTTTGCTGAGATCCTCACAAAGATTGATAGGCGGTCAGGAAAAGAGCTTGAGAAGGAGCCCAAATTCTTGAAGAATGGTGATGCTGGATTCGTTAAGATGATCCCCACGAAGCCCATGGTTGTTGAGACCTTCTCTGAGTACCCACCTCTTGGTAGGTTTGCTGTCAGGGACATGAGGCAAACCGTGGCTGTTGGTGTGATCAAGGCTGTTGAGAAGAAGGACCCAAGTGGTGCCAAGGTGACCAAGTCAGCTGCTAAGAAGAAGTGAACCGAGGTCTTGGGTCCTTTTGTCGGTGATACTGTTTTCTGCTTCTGGACTCTATCGTGTGTTTCTTCTTTTGCATTTCCTTTATGTTTTCGTTATTTTGTTCTGTGTTTTGGTTTGTTGCTGTTATTTGGCGGGCGGACAATGCAGAACTGGGTGCTAGACAGGCGGTGGCGTGCTGATTAGGGAGGTTTTCTTCTTCCCCCTTCTTTTTCGCTATAGTAAAAACAAAAAGAAGACATTTTGCACTCTATTTATCTTTTTGTCCGGGACATGGAATATGTACGAGTCTATTTTGTTAGTTGTTTATTTGAAGAATAGATTGTGATTATGGTGATTTGAAGTGATGAGTTAAGTTTGACTTGGGTCCAGAATTTCCACCTGTTGCCTACGCATCTCTTGTGATTTTTGGCTAAATTTAAAGTTTTTTGGTGGTTTGTCGGTCATTTGATTGCCCCAAAAGATTGATTAGGTGATGAAATCAATTTATTTCAATGAAAGTCGATAGATATATGTGTGCCTTTATGACTCTCTGGTATGAGTTCTGTTAGATGATGTTTCTTTGGTTTTCTTTATTGGTATAATTTTAAAATCGCATTACAATGACCATAAGAGAGAGATTTCCATTGTGGCAGAGAGGCGTTTAGATTACATTTTTGGATTTCTGAGAAACCAATGTTAAATGTGTGTGAGAAGCCTGTTTCCTGATTTTTCATGTGTCTGAATAATTAGCCATTTAGTATAGGAGATATATGTTCTCTCATTATATACAATCCCTTTCTTAATTCGGGGTCAGTTTTTTAGTTTGATATGAAAATATATTAATTATTCGTTGGCATGAATTGAAATTAATTGTATTATATGAATTCTGCATTTGTACAATGACTGCGGTCCTTGTTAATTAGTGTCAATTATGTTTATATGTAACGACCACCCGGTTTGGATAATTTGATTGCCAACTAATGCCTTGGTCTAACCAATCGTTAGGTTGGTTAAATAAAGTGGGACAAATTTTTTGAATAATTTATTTGAAGTATTATCAAGTGGTTTTTTCTCAACTATTTGGTGCTTTGCTGATTACCCTTTTTTACAAGTTTTTGTAAAATATAATTGGACATGTTTGTTAATTTCGTTTGACACCTGGCACTGATAGTCCGTATCTGTAGTACACCACGTAAACTCAATCGTTTCAATCTTGTTGCATTTACATCTCTGATAAACCTATATTTTAATCTGCACTCAAATTATTCCAATCTGCACATAATTAATGTATTGGCTCACTTTGAGTGCGGCCTTTGATTGGGAGAGTGGCAGATTAAGATTTTTGTAGCCATGTGAAAAAGTAATTATGATTATGATTATTATTTAATTTCAAATAATAATTAATATTGACTATGATTATTATTTAATTTCAAATAATAATTAATATTGATTATGATTATTATTTATTTTCAAATAATAATGTTGTTTGTGTAGCCATCACAAACAGGTGAAAAATTAATAAGGACTGATTGTTATTTATTTTCAAATAGTAATGTTGTTTGTGTAACGTTCACAAACAGGTAAAAAATTATTAATGACTATGATTGTTATTTAATTTCAAATAATATTGTTGTAAAAAGTCGTTAATTTCCTTATAGAAATGGTGGGGAGAGAGAGTTGCAGAACATCACATTGAGATATCAAATGGCCACTAAATACTGAAACATCACATTATATCAGTCTCGTGGTCTTTTGATGGAAATAGTAATACCTCCCAAAACTTTTGAATGCATAATAACGCCTCAGAACGTATTCTAGTTTTGAATGCATAGTAACGCCTCAAAAACGCATTCTAGTTTTGAATGCATAATAACGCCTCAAAAAAGTATTCTAGTTAGTGTTGTTAATGGGCTGGGTAGCCTGATCCCGAAATATTTATCGGGTGGGATCTCGTTGGGCATGGGCTGAATCTGAAAATTTTTGAAAATTTGTAAGCTTATATTACATGCATATCCAATATTTGGCTTGGGCTTGATATTTTTTCGGTTCATGCCAAGTTTGGGCCTTGTTACCATGAAATTGGACATGGCCGCAGGCCTAAAACTAAGTATTCAGGACCGGGCCTACCCTCCTCTATCTCAAGCCTGGCTCGGGTTAGACATGCCCTGTCCAAACCGGATCAGTGAAAAGCCCTAATTCTAACAATATGGATATGATCTGAAATTCTTGCAAGATGGACATGCTCTAAAATCTGACTGGAATCTTTTCCACTTGTGTAACTCTAAAATCTGATTGGAATCTTTTCCACTTGAGAAATTCTTGCAAGATGGACATGCTGAATGAAATCTTTTTCACTTGAGAGAGAGATCTCAAATTTGACTGAAATCTCTTCCACTAGAGAGAGGGAGATAGATTCAGGACTGAAACTTTTCCGGTGAGTTAGATTATCAAGAGAGAGAACTTCATGGTATAAGATTGAAAAGTCCATGTTGCAAGAACAATTTGAGCATTTTTATTTATTTATTTATTTTTTAACTCAACTTCTGACATGTAAGCTGATTTAATGCTTTCAAGGGTTCTAAAAGTGTACGAGAAAATTATTTCAAATTTATTTTTGCTTCAAAGTGGAAAGGAGAAGAGAGTGATTATCTATACTATATTATTAAGTTATAGTTAAGAGGTAGATATTTTACAAGACTAAAGGACCCCATCCCAAAAGAATGTTGGGCAAGTGACCTTCGAAGAGAAGGAACTTAGGGCATTGTAGGTCATTTTATCTTAATCTATTGACTTTGAAGTTTACTAGAATAAAGGACCCCATCCCAAAAGAATGTAGGGCAAGTGACCTTCAAGAAAAGGAACTTATGGCATTGTGGGTCATTTTTATCTTGTGGGTCATTTTTATCTTAATCTATGGACTTTGAGAGATTTTAGAGACATTTGAAAGATGGCGAGAAGAGAAGTAGATATAGAAATCTATGTAATTTGAGAAAATTCTAGGAAATTTTTCTACGATTTAATTAACGTATGAGACATGTTACATGGATTAAAAAAAATACGTGATTTTCGACAAACATCCACAAAAGTTTGACCCTATTTTTCTCTAGTGAATATGGGAATAGGAAAACGTGCATGAAATGTAAAATATATTACAGAGAGAGATGAAGTGCCATGGGGGCAATTCAATCTTTATTATGTCACATTAAATGTGTTTGATAGAGATGATGTGCCATGCAGGAATTAGATCTTGATTAAGACCATATTAGGGAAAATGATTGTGTATAGGCAAATTATACAAGGATGAGGTTTTTATATGGCCTAGGCTTTATGAAAACAAAATAAAGCCTCACTTCAAATCCTCATCCGGAATGTACATTTGGCAATGAAAATCTCTATGATGACTCTAAAATCAATTTTCAACATTGATAACAGAATTTGAAACTTAAAAAATGGTTCAAATCTTGTGGATATGTGAACACTTATTTTTAAAGAAAAATGGACGATCTAGATAAATTGTTACAATATATATTATTTTTAGAGCATGATATCCCCCTTTTTTTTTTTTCACAACCATAGTGTTCAAATCGAGATGATCAATGTAAGGTTTTCTAATACTTGACTTGTAATTTTCGATGAGTTATGAGTTGAGGATTTACTTATTTTGATAGACTTGCAGCCTATATTTTCGATTATACAATGGCACCAGCGATGATCAATGTAAGGTTTTCCAATACTTAACTTGCAATTTTCGATGAGTTAGGAGTTGACGATTTACTTATTTTGATGGAGTTGCAGCCTATATTTTCCATTATACGATGACACCATTTATTTTAATATACAGATGTGTTTGACTACAAAGTCCAGAATAAAATTTCACGAATCTTGTGATATACTATCATCTGTTAGCTTTCACATTCAATGGTTAAAATGATTATGACATTCTTGTCTTGTAGTATACAATTGGTCTCTTTGTATAATTTTATGTATTTTAGATATATTGTCTTGCGGTGTATAAGACTTTTGAACTTTTTTTTTTTTTGGGTAGATCAGTGGGGAATACATACCCCTACTCGTTTTTAGAAATAGTTATCGGTTTTCGAATACGTTAGTGGGAATGGAAACTTAGATTGGTAGCTGAGGCTCAAGTAATGCTACCACCACGGCCTCAACCCTATTCCCACTTTTCAACCATTCGTTTCAAAGAAAAAGACTTATTAAGTTTTTTTCTTTTTTTGGGTAAAAGTTAGAGGTGTGCCAAGGCTCTAAATAATCAATTAGAGCCTACCCTCTAAACTTTCACTAGAAGAGGTTATTTTGATGCCCAAATATCCTCAAGTCAATCATCTCGATATCAAGATGCATGAACATGAAAAAAAAATTATTTCATGTTTTAGAAATAGTGCATCTTGTAATGCATTTTGGACCGTCAATTTTCAAGATTTTCAAGTTTTCATAGATTTGCTTGATCTACACTATTTTTGAAGATCTAAATTTTATAATTACAGATGAAAATATATTTTAAGGCTATCACAAATATTTTCTATGTTGAAACCACATTTCCTGACACTATTTAAAGGTCGGCTCTACTTTGATTGTTTAGAGCCTCGGCTCTATGCAAACAGCACCCATATATATATATATATATGATCTTACTATAATAAAACCAAAATTCTATAACACCATGTTTGTGGTATTTGTATGATCCTAAAAATTGCACACACACGCATGTCTCTTCATCTCAATTATTATTCCCCATATCAATGAAATAAAATGGGTCTTCTCTCGTTTATATATACCAGGATTGTACTAGCTTAGGCCCAGTCTGGCCCTTTCCTCCAGCCATGGTAGTTTTTCCCTAGCCAAGGCTTTGTCCTGATGTCATTCGTATCTATTGGCTTAGAAAATAGATCTTTCATTGCTTTGTCTTTTCCTCGACTAGCCAAGGCTTTGTCCTTATGTAATTTGCATCTATTGGCTCAGAACGACACTTCTTTAACCTCGTCATGTTTTTCTAAAGATGACCTTCATATCGAGGTGGTTGTCCTAATTGGCCTCCTAGGCCCTAGCTAGACTAGCTAGATAAGGGCCAAATGCCTAGCTCTAGGCAGCCGCCCCACACCTAGGCAAACGAGCGGCCAAGTGCTTAGCTCTAGGCGGCCACCCCACCCTTAGGCAGACGAGCGCCAAGTGCCCAGCTCTAGGTGGCCGCCTCACACCTGGTCCCTGATGTCATTCGTATCTATTGGCTAGGAAATAGATCTTTCATTGCTTTGTCTTTTCCTCAAGCCATGGTAGTTTTGCCCTAGCCAAGGCTTTGTCCTGATGTAATTGGCATCCATTGGCCCAGAATGACAATTCCTTCTTTAACCTCGTCATGTTTTTCTAAAGATGACCTTCATATGGA